GGACTTTGGTCCCCCCCTCCTCCCCCGGCCCAACCCTAGAGCCGGGACGCGTGTCAATGAGTGTGTGGGGGTGTGTGTCTCTGTGTACCCGCCTTTCCCTGCTCCTCCGTTCTTCACCCTCCCACACCCCGTCCCCAAATTACCTCGACAAGGACTAGCAAACCCGTTTCGTAGGGGCGTGCGTTTGCCGCCCCTTTCCCACCTTCCGCTCCTTCGCGAGCGCGTGTCGTTAAGACTCCAGCCCCCCGCGGGCCACACGACCGGGCTCGGGAGGCCAGCGCTCCGGCGCGCGACGCGCTACCCGCCGGGAGTGGTAGTTCCGCTGCCGGCTGGCGTCACGCCCTGGACCGGCACAGTGCGGCTTTCTGGCCTCCGCTCAGCGGAGAAGCTGTTCCCCAAACTAAATAAAGTCTCATGAGTATTGCACGACGGGAAGGGGCGGCGCTGCCAAGACGCACAAAGGAGGAAATAAAAGCGAAAGCCTATCGCGACCAGAAGCGGTTACAGTTACGAAGAGTTTGCTGTGAGCCCATCCAGCAATGGGAGCTAAACCACACGATGACCCGCAGCCAGGAAGCTGGGCCACGCAGAATCCGGAGGGATGGAGAAACTGGCTAGCGTGGGCCTCTTGAGCTGTCCTTTTACTTGGCTTAAGAAGGCCACTCAAATTGCTTGGTGCTGTTCCTCTTTGATAGATTGTAAAATGGAGAAGGGAACGAACTCGCCCAAGGTCACATAACCGACAAAAATTAAAGCCAAGGGTGACAGGATGAATGATCTTTTTGAATCACCCCCAAAGCTCTTACTCCTACACCTTTCATGAGCATGAAAATCCTGCCCCTTGTGCTCTTTAAAAAAAATTATTTATTGACAGTATTACAGATGTCCATTCCCCCCTTTCTGTCCCCCTACACCCAGTCCCAGCCCCACCCCAGGCTTTCCCCACACTGTACGTCCATGGGTTATGCATATATGCATATATGTTCTTTGGTTAATCTTTTCCCGTCCCCTCCCCCGTCCTCCCTGTCTTTACTTAAAAAAAAAAAAGTTTTATTGACTTTATTGAGAGGAAGAGAGAGAGAGAGAGAAACATCCATGAGAGAGAAAAATTGATCAGCTGCCTCCTGCACGCCCCCCACACTGGGGATTGAGCCCACAGCAGTGACCTGATTCTTGGTCCTACACTCAACCTCTGAACCACACCAGTCGGGCTCCCCTCATTTCTTTCTTTTTAAAAAAAATACATTTTATTGATTTTTTACAGAGAGGAGGAGAGAGAGATAGTGAGTCAGAAACACCTATGAGAGAGAAACATCGATCAGCTGCCTCCTGCACATCTCCTACTGGGGATGTGCCCGCACCCCAGGTACCTGCCCTTGACCAGAATCGAACCCAGGACCCTTCAGTCCGAAGGCCGACGCTCTATCCGCTGAGCCAAACCGGTTTCGGCTCCCCTCATTTCTTAATGAAGGTTCCAGGCCCTAGCAAAGAGAATGGAAGTAAAAAGTTTTTTTTCTTCATACATTGGTGTCCCATACAAAACTGGAATTCTGTTAATATGGAAGATAGAGAAATGGATGTTGGATAGGCAACTAACACTATGTTCCATATTTACTTTTGCTTATTAGGACCCTAAATAGCAGTAAGATATGCCCCGTAGATCTGAGAAACCCTGTTGTTATGCACACTAAAAGATGAGTTCCAGAGATAACAAGCAATTTGGCCAACTCACACTTAGTCTAGACTCCAAATCTCTCCTACCTTCTTCCACCATCACTTTGAGGTTGTTTCAGATGTTGCATTCTACCTACCGAACTGCCTAGGAAACCTGGAATAGAGAGGCAAGGACCCGCCAGGTACCCTGCAGACTTCAAAAGCCGGATTTCACTAAATTCAGAGAATGACCCAAAACGGAAAGGAAAGCCCAAAGTAGGAACCACTTAGCGCTGCTCACGATCCTACCCGGATTCATTTTTTTCAGTTGACAGGAAGTGAAGGACTATCTTAACCCCACTTGCCGGAAGTGCCTTTTCAGGAGTACTTGGCTGTTCTTGCAGCTCAGGTTTTCATCTCTCCACGCGACACTGGCAAGTGAGTAGTAGGGCTGCTGCCAGAAATGCAGGTTGGAAAGGGGGGCAATCGGGGTTGGCAGTAAACCGGAGACACGGGCATTGTTGGGGAAAGTTCACCGAGGATCCGAGAGTTCAGACTCCATCTCCTTTTCTCCGATGTGGGCTCTGAGGCTTGCAGTTTGCAATTTTTTCTTTTGGGGCAGTGGAAATACTGAGCGTTTCGCCTGAATTGAAACGGATTAACCCTTGGGTCTGTTCTTAATTCCCTAACCAATTGGCCGTCCCCGGGTTTTAGGCTATCATTTATTCGCTTGAACGCACGAGTTGGAAAGCACATATATCACAGTGCATAGAGAGTTCCAAAGCTGGAGAGAGCGCTGGGATTTTAAGTGGGGTGGTCCAGAAGGCCCTTAAGCAGGTGATTTTGCATAAAAGTGATTGTGTGGGCCCTGCAGAGAAATGTGTGTCTGGGAGTTACGAGGTGTATGTGGTGGGTGTCATTTTAAGATCTACTCAGAGGCCCAGGATAACTTAATTCACTACTTGCTTCCTATGTATAGAATGACATTGACCAGTATACAGGAATTCCCAGATTTGTGATCAAGAAATTAGTTCATTGCCTTGGTTAGAGCGTCTTTCCCACAGTCAAGGTTGCGGGTTCCATCCCAAGTCAGGGCACATACAAGAATGAGTAAGTGGAACAACAAATCAGTGTCTCTCTCCCTCTCCCTCTCTCTAAAAATCAGTAACTAAAAACAACAACACACAAATAAAAGAAGTTAGTTCATTAAAATTGTAAATGGAGAGGCAACTGTGGGTTTGGGATTTAAAAAAATTTTTGGTTTGGGATTTTTTTAGACACCTCATTTTTCTGGTTAAGAGTGGGGGACACACACACAAGCAAAAAAAACGGGGGAAAAAGAACAAAGAATGGGACTCACATAAGACATATGGATTCATATTCTCAGTCACTTTACTGGCTACTTATATTATGTAAGTAAAATAAATCAATAATAAAAAAGCATTAAAAAAGAATGAGGAAATAAGAACTTAAAATTTTAAAATATATATTTTTATTTTTTAAATATATTTTTATTGATTTTAGAGTGGAAGGGAGAGGGAGAGAGAGAGAAACATCAATGATGAGAGAGAATCATTGATGGGCTGTCTCCTGCACACCCACTACTGGGGATTGAGCCTGCAACCCAAACATGTGCCCTTGATCAGAATGGAACCTGGGACCATTCATTCAGTCCGCAGGCTGATGCTCTAGCCACTGAGCCAAACCAGCTAGGGTAAAAAAAAATTTTTTTGTTAATCCTCACAATGGATATTTTCCCATTGATTTTTAGAGAGAGTAGAAGGGAGGGGGAGAGACAGAGAGAAACATCGATGTGAGAGAGACACATTGACTGGTTGCCTCCAGCACGCACCCAGATCAGACCAGGCAGGGAGGATCGAACCTGCAACCTAGGTATGTGCCCTTGACCAGAATCGAACCCGGGACCCTGCAATCTGCAGGCTGACACTCTAGCCACTGAGCCAAACCAGCTAGGGCAGCAGATATTTTTTGAGTGCTTTCTTTGTGTTAGGGACAGTTCTTAGCTCTTTACATGTATCAAATGATTTAATTTTTACAGCGATCCTGTGTAGTTATTATAATCCTTATCTTCAAAGGTGAATGAACTGCATCATAGCAAGATTAAATGCTTGTCTGAAGTCATAGCTAGTAAGTGGTGGGGCCAGGATTCCAATCTAGATTGTTTGACTCCAAAGTTTGTGCTCTAGCTTACCAGGTTATACAGTCTCTCAGCACTAAGTTGATGAGGTTTTTGTAATTAATTAGTTTTTGTATATCAAACACAGTGTCTGGTTGACAGCTGAATTGTATTATCATCATTATTTTGAGCTATAAACTCCTAAGTCCCAAAATAAATAAGGGGGAAAAAAGAACATGGATGCTATGACCTTCAGTTTTACTTTTTTTAAAATATATTTTATTGATTTTTTACAGAGAGGAAGGGAGAGAGATAGAAAGTTAGAAACATCGATGAGAGAGAGAAACATCGATCAGCTGCCTCCTGCACACCCCCTACTTGGGATGTGCCTTCAACCAAGGTACATGCCCTTGACCGGAATCGAACCTGGGACCCTTCAGTCCGCAGGCCGATGCTTTATCCACTGAGCCAAATCGGTTAGGGCTGACCTTCAGTTTTAAAGATGAGAAATTGGCACTTCAAGGAAGCAATTTATCTAAGGACACACAGCTGGGAAATGATGGTTATCTGTAAAATCTAGATCTCTGTGCATTAATATTTTCAGAGAAGGAAAGGATCTATTAACATGTTACTGATTTTTTGAAAATGATAATGATTGTTTTCAAAGGAAACTTATATAGAAGAAATTCTCGTTACTTTATTATTTTTTAAAATATATTTTTATTGAATTCAGAGATGAAGAGAGAGATAGAAACATCAATGAGAGAGAATCATCAATTGGCTGCCTCCTACATGCCCCCCACTGGGGATTGAGCCTGCAACCAAGGCATGTGCCCTGACCAGTAATCGAACTGTGACCTCCTGGTTCATAGGTTGACATTCAACCACTAAGCCATGCCAGCCAGGCAATTCTCAAGTTACTTTAAGAAAATTATGTATAAAATGAAGAAAATTAAGTGACATCTATTTGGTTGTTTTTTTTTTGACATCTTATTTTGTACACAGCAACATGCTTCTGATTCAGCGTGTCCACTTAGCTATAAAAATACATTAATCAGAACTGCCTGGCATCTTCCTGAGCAAGACTTCATTAGGTCCCAGTATGCTTCACTTCATCCGGAAGTTTTCTCAAGCATCTTCAAAGGTTGGTTTATCTAGCAAATATTTGAGCACTACTTGCCAGACATGATTTGGCTGGGCAATAGCAGTGAAAAAGAAGACCCAAAAAAAAAAAAAAATCCTTTCCTGATATTTGGATATGTGTGTGTGTGTGTTTGTAAAGTACAAATAAGTAAAATATTTAATATATCAAGTGGTAAGTGCTATGGAGTACTATAAAGCAGGAGAAGGGAATACGACTTGTCAAAAATAGACTTACAAAGGGGAGGGTGGGGGGAAGGGGGAGATCAACCAAAGGACTTGTATGCATGCATATAAGCATATCCAATGGACACAGACACTAGGGGGCTGAGGGTATGAACTGGGGAGGCAATGAGGGGATAAGGACACATATGTAATACCTTAACCAATAAAGACTAAAAAATAAATTAAAAAATAGACTTATGATTGCACTTTATATCAATGGGGTGGTCAGAAATTAGGGAATGGGCCATGCAGGTAGTTCAGAGAAGAACATTCTAGACTAAAGGAAAAAAGAGGTCCCAAGATGGAATCATTCCTAGAATTTTGAGGAATCACCAAAATTCTCAAATAACTTTCATTTTTGCTTTCATCAAACACTTCTTTTTTTTTTTTTAAATATATTTTATTGATTTTTTACAGAGAGGAAGAGAGAGGGATAGAGAGTTAGAAACATCGATGAGAGAGAAACATTGATCAGCTGCGTTCTGCACACCCCCTACTGGGGATGTGCCCCCAACCAAGGTACATGCCCTTGGCCGGAATCGAACCTGGGACCTTTCAGTCCACAGGCTGACGCTCTATCCACTGAGCCAAACCGGTTAGGGCATCAAACACTTCTTGAGTTACTTGTAATCTATTTACTAGTTGAAGTCTGGAATCTGCTTACTAAAGCATAGAATCAGCAGAGAAGTTTATTTGGTCATATAACATGAAAGGCATAAGGATTTTTTTTTAAGGCAAAGAAAAAATATGGTCCTGGTTCTTAAGTCTACTCACAATTTTAATTCACGGTGAGAATTATAATGGAAGTACACATAGGGTACTTTCTTATAGGAGCATTAAATCAGATTGGAGAAAGTTTTTGTTTTTTTAATATATTTTTATTGATTTCAGAGAGGAAGGGAGCGGAAGAGAGAGACAGAAACATGAATAATGAGAGGGAATCATTGATTGGCTGCCTCCTGCACGCCCCACACTGGGGACTGAGCCCACAACCCAGGCATGTGCCCTTGGCCAGAATTGAACCTGGGACCCTTCAGTCAGCAAGCTGACGCTCTGTCCACTGAGACAAATTGGTCAGGGCAGATTGGATAAAGTTTTAAGCTGAATTTGTAAAAACAGTTCCAAAATAGAAAAGTAAGCCAGAATGCTAGGTAGAGACATAGAGAAAAGCATGGAACTATGAAAAGTATGCAGTGTTCATAAAGCTATATTGGAAGGTACACTGCTTTTCTCTACATAAAATAGCACTGCCTCAGTGATTAGTGCAACTGCTTTTGCAATTTGTAAGTACAAGAGGCAGTTTAGAATGCCAAATACTAAATATCCAGTCTTTACCTGTTCTTCTTTGAGATATTTTCTCATGGGATAAGATTAGTGGTAAGCCAAAACATAAGTGACTTCTATTCAGTAGTTTCTTTTGTATGTGGTATAGCTGTTAATAGTCTTAGCCAGCAATAACATCACTCTGTAGTCCAACCTTTCTGTAAAGTTCGATGTGCTAACAGAAAACAGTTAGTTTGTTTTTATATTGTTCTAGTTTGGAATTAACTAAGACATTTGGTGATACACATTTTTAAAAATCTGCTTTTGTCTTCTGGTTTATTTTCTCTACGTAGATGCTGAAGTACCCTTTCACAGTTGGACTAGGAGCCAGCAGGAGAATAGAAACACTTTCTCTCAAGGCATGTCTCCAGCAGAACTTTTCACCTTTGTTTCTAAGGCCTAGGCCTTCCTCATCATTTCCAGTGTGTATGAGCAAGACACAATACTATCATACTTCCCCATGCAACTTTAAGAAGAAGCAGAAGGAAGAAGTGCTTCCAGCCAGGCCACCGAAAACTATCACATACCTGCCTGACAGCCCAAAGCCAGCATTATACATCTCTCTGGCGGGACTAATCCCTTTCCTTGCTCCACCACTGATCATGGTGATGGTAAAGACTTATATCCCCGTATTAGCTTTTACTCAGATGGCTTATGGAGCCAGTTTCCTATCTTTCTTGGGAGGGATCAGATGGGGTTTTGTTCTGCCAGAAGGTAGTCCAGCCAAACCAGACTACCTAAATTTAGCTAGTAGTACAGCTCCTGTCCTGTTTTCATGGTTTGCCTTCCTTGTTTCTGAAAGGCTCAGTGAAGCTATACTCACAGTAATGATAGGTTTGGGGATAGCATTACATAATGAACTTTTTCTTTTGCCAAATTATCCCAATTGGTTTAAAGCCCTGAGGATAGTAGTCACTTTAGTGGCCTTTTTATCGTTTGTAATCACTTTACTACTTAAAAATATTTATCCAGAGAAAGGACCTCAGAAACCTGGTCAAGGAGAATAAATATAAAACTACTCAATAAATGATGTTAGCACGTTGGCTACAGCCTTGTAAGGTTGTTTTACATATCCTTTTTCTTCTACTACTGTTTAGCTCTTTGTTTCCCACCAATGGTAATGTAGTCATTTTTTCACTTCTAAAAAATCTATTTCATAGGAATTATATGATCAACAGCTTGAAAATCCTTAAGTCCTTTTTATGTCATATTAGGTTAGAGTTCTCATTCAGTGTCAGGAATTATATAGTGGTCCACTCATTTCAAAGTTTTATTTTGAAGGAAAAAAAAAGTAAAATTAAAAGCAAAAGATGGAAAAATCCCTTTTGCTAGAATCTATGATCATTGAAAAACACACATACTCTCCCATTTCAAGAGGAAAACTTCAATCCATGAATGTCTGAAAACAATAAGCAGTTCCAGGGTAGAGTTTTCATTGCAGTTGCCCCGGGGATTGCATTCCCAAGCTCATTTTACCTGGTACAACCTAGTTATATGAGCTGAGAGGATCTGTGGCTCTAAAGTCATTTGGGAGTAGTGTCACGAGGGGAAGTCATGTTTAAAGAGAATCTGGACACTTTTCTAGTTTTTATCAGGATATTTGGCAGAGTATAGATGCAACTTATCACCAAATAGACCACCAGCAGGTCAAAATTATTTAAAAGATAAAGCTGTTAGTACATAAAATTAGGAAAAATCAAGCTGGAGCCATCTTGATATTCTAATGAGCAGGGCTATCTAATGTTACATGTTAACTCCCAGAAAGCTTTTTCAAAACAGCAAAAACATCACCTTAAGACTCTAATTTGAAAACCTTGTCTTTTGAGATTCTTAGTCTCATAAAAAAGGAATTTATGTAAGAATATAAATAAGGAAATGATTTCACCTGGTATGTTATCTTTGCATAAGTATTCAAATATCAAATTTCATAAGTAAATTATATACATATGACTTCCGTGCTAGTGATGATTCTTGCAGTGAAGAGATGAGTCTAGATTGGTAGCCTGTTTACTTTCTTACACACCTGTTATGTATTGAATTGTGTGTTGAAGTCTTAATCCCCAATATTTAAGAATGTGACCTTATTTGGAGGTAGGGTCTTTACAGAGGTAATAACTATTAAAATGAGGTCATGAGCCGAAACCGGTTTGGCTCAGTGGATAGAGCATCGGCCTGCGGACTGAAGGGTCCCAGGTTCGATTCCAGTCAGGGGCATGTACCTTGGTTGCGGGCATATCCCCAGTAGGAGATGTGCAGAAGGCAGCTGATTGATGTTTCTCTCTCATCGATGTTTCTAACTCTCTATCTCTCTCCCTTCCTCTCTGTAAAAAATCAATAAAATATATATAAAAAAATAAATAAAATGAGGTCATGAGAGTAGGCTATAATGTAATATTACTGGAATTCTTATAACAAGGGAAAATTTAGAGACATGTATACAGGGAGAATGCCATGTGAATGTGAAGATGGCTATCTGTATGTCCAGGAGTGAAGCCTGGAACAGATCCCTCCCTCGAAGCCTTCAGAAGGAACCAACTCTACCAACACCTTGAGTCCAGACTTCCGGCCTCTGAAACTATGAGACAATAAATTCTGTTGTTTAAATTTCTGTGCCCTGCTAGTGTGGCTCAATGGTTGAGCATCAACTCATGCACCAAGAGGTCATCAGTTCAATTTCTGATCAGGGTCCATTGTGGGTTTGATCCCCAGTAGGGGACATGTAGGAGGCAGCTAATCAATGTTTCTCATTCATGTTTCTATCTCACGTCCTCTCTAAAATCAATAAAAACATGTTTTTAAAAATTTCTCTGGTACTTTGTTACAGCAGCCCTAAGCAAACAAATATAACACCACAGAGCTAGAACTTACTTGGATCATTAACCCTACCAGACTGCTGTACCGATTTTTCGGTAATTTCCGAATCTGCCGCTATACCGCTGTACCTAATTTTCGGTACTTTGCCTAGACCTATTTTCTACAATGTCTCCAAATTCCATCTTATTCTAACCACTTGTTTGCATGTAACTAACATTTTTCTATATCATGTTGGTTTTTTCTCTTTAATGCTCAGGAGCCCAGGTATAGGGGACATTTAGGTTCAGGGCCTCAGGTCTGGTATGGTTAAGAAGTATACCAGTTAAAGCCCGTGGCTGAAACCACCACATGATCCTTCTTTATTAAGGTAGAGAACAGTTTACTATAGCCTGATAATAAAGAAAACTCATACTCTTGCCCTATCCGGTTTGGCTCAGTGGATAGAACATCGGCCTGTGGACCAAAAGGTCCAGGTTTGATTCTGGCTAAGGGCACATGCCCAGGTTGCAGGCTCCATTCTCAGTAGGGGTTGTGCAAGAGGCAGCCGATCAATGAAAGATTCTCATCATTGATGTTTCTATCTCCCCCTTTCCCTTCCTCTCTCAAG